CAATATTTTGATTTTTTTGCACCCTCAGATTCCAGATTTTCAAATAGTTGTATCTCGGCCAAATATTGTCCGATCCTAACAAACCTTACATCAATGTAAAGCTTATCTATTCAGCTTTCAGATGATATATAAACCTCAATTTAAGAAAATTGACCCTTATGACTGGTTTTGTGCTCCAGGGTCACATATTAGTACATAAGAGTAGTAGGGTACTACTTCAACCTTTTAGGGGTAAATAAGTTACAAAGTTGTTTCTACTGTCATAATGACAAGTTGCACTATCCGATTTTTGCCGATTTTTGTCTTTTTTCTGTGTACAAGCAATGGTTTTAGCAACACCAATGTTTCTTCATTAATATTAAGGACAACATTGTCACTTAAATAGCATAAGACTGCTATTTAAATTTTGAAAATTTGTTTTTTCTTGGAAAAACTGTTTTAATATTTAATCAATTTATATGTTTTTCTTATGTCCACAACAACACTTTCCATTCTTAGTCTTGTGTAATATCCCTCTCCTGTTTAGGTGTATTGGATTTTCTGGTTTAATAAATCATGTGGCATGTAAAACCAGCAGCATTTCAAATGTATCCAATTTATTGATAACACTAAAAGGTATCGCTGATCTACTACATGAAGTGAGAGTTTTGCAGCTGGGTTAAGGTTAGCTAATCTCATCTACATTTAAAGAAAAATAACAGCTTTGTATTGCTACAATGTCAGTAGTATATGTGAATGAACACTGTGTACTCTTTCATATCCCTGTTTATTTGTTTTGTCAGAAGGGAAGCTCTTTTTCTCAGTTTATAATAATGATGTAGCTCCAGTTTCCAATTTTTTTCCCCTGCTTTTTACTGCAGAGACAGCAAAGTTTAATTATAAAACGGAGAGTTCCGGTCCTTGATTCTGATTGGCTGAGCCACGTTCGAAGCTGTTGTAAATTACTCTACAAACACACACCTTTGTTTACTTCTGTGTGTTGCTCGGCAACCACTTTGTTGGAACCACAACTGATTCTGAGGAACTACATTGTTTGGTGGAAGAATACTGTTTTTATTATCATTACACTTTATTTACGCTGTTTTATTCTGTGAAACCTTATATGGAATAACCGTTTTATAAAAGCAAAAGCCCCGTGAAGCCGTGGTTTACAGTGAGTTTATAACAGCTAAGGGGGTTTTAGGCACTCCGCTTCGCGTCGTAACAACGCCCCTTAGCTGTTATAAATTCACTGTAAACCACGGCTTCTTGGGGCTTACTGCTTTATTTAAAGCCAATCCTGCCAGCGGTGAAGCACCTCTTTAAGGAGAGGAGTTTGGAATCGTATACAAGCCTAGTAGTTGATTTGTGTTGATAAAATCACAGAAATCAATAAGATATGAACATTTCAATACATGGTCAAAAAAACTAAATAAAGTTCAAGTCAGCACTCTCATGTCTAACCCTCACTCAGCAATTATTAACTTTAGCTCCTCATTTCCATCCAGGTCCAGCTTGTTCATTTTCCTGCCATTATGCAAAGAATTTAAAATAATGTAAAATGATGAAGGATGTTATAATAATACTTCTTTAAATTACAACACAAGCATTTTTTTTTATGTTGAAAATTGTAAAAAGTACTGGATAATAGGAATGATTATGCAACTATTGTTTCCACAATTAAGATAAATTCTTTTTTTTTTTTATCTAGTTTAAACACATTAAATAAACTCTTTGTATTCATTTTGGTTTCCATTTTCAGAAAATGTCATGTGGTGTGAATATCAAATAAAAGCAATAACATTATCTTTACACCTTGAACAGATGTGGATGTACAGATCTTAATCATTATCTTTAATATGTAGGCTAAGTGTTTAAAATTCGTTTTCAAGGTAAAAGTGTTTTAATTAATGTGTTTTTAAAAAAAATACAAATATCAAGAATTATACATTTATAAATATCATTGGCTTTTGGGGAGTCACAGCTCAAAATTATAACCTGGCCTTGTAATTAAAAGGTCAAATTACCTGACATTTTGGATATTTGTATAATTTGATATTTTTTACTTTATGCCAACCAAAATGATCAAAATTAATTTTAATTCAGAACCATATTTACTAACAAGCGTGACTCTCATGTACTTATTGTACTTCATACTACAGCTTACATACAGTATTTAAGCCAGTAATGTAATAAACAAATAAATCAGTATCAAACCTTTTCTGATCTTGCAATATCGTCTTTTTTAATACAGTTGAAGTCAAAAGTTTACATACACCTTACAGAATCTGCAAAATGTTGATTATGTTAACAAAATAATCATACAAAATGGTAAATTTATTCTATGACGCATATACAGGCCTATTTTCATATTTAATCGCCAATATTTGAATTGAAGACATAATAGCAACACTATGAATGCAATCTTACCTCAAGGGTCCAATTTTCTCTTTTTTACTTAAAAATTAAAACTACAGATTTTACTCCAAAAACTACTACTACTACTACTAATAATAATAATAATAATAATAATATGTCCACAAATCCCTCATTAACAAATAGATAAATATATTCCAGACACACAAAGTTATCTGTCTGTAAATAGATAATTCAACAGAATAATATCCGGATTTCAAAAGTACTACTTAATATCAGTTATATTCAATATTTTCGTCTGCAGATTATTATAATATTTCCTACTTCATTACTTTCTAGATTATGTGGACTCCTTACACTAAAGCATATAGTATAAAGTATTTATGGTTTTCTTTACAATGATATTACAATAAATGTGTATCACTGGCAAGGATACCAGCAATATCTGTAAAAGCTCTAAAATAATGGATATATTAAGTACATTTATGCTAATGTTACAAAGCTCAATACTTTTATTGACGGACATATGACAGTAACACGATGCCTGTAAAGTACGCAGACGTTAAAAACTACCATACCAAACAATTACACACATAAATGATAATGTTTATGCCTTTATATATACATTTAAATGTTCTCTTACCTTTAGAGTGGCTTCACATCATATGAGTTACAGTCAATTTTAATACTTTAGAAACATCGCGGACGATCGAGTCGACATGTCGTTTCCGGTCGTTCTGTAAGTAACTTCCGGTGTTTTTTGAACAGAAGCGCACACTCATCAGGAACGACCCTCAATCGCGCTCACTATCACTGACGACGATAGCGTGTTCTGCAGATCGAAGCATTCTGAGCATGCGCAGAAGCGAGGCGTGCTAGCTACCGAAACTCCTCTCGTGATTGGTCGGCAGAGCTGTCAGTCATTTAAACACGCCCCGTGATTCATAATCTATTAGTTTTCCCGTTAGTCATCGCCCACTGCCGGAAAGCAGTGAGCTCACTGCAGCCAATGGCAGCTCGCGCTGGCTCAGCGTATTTACACAAAGAGCAAAATTAAATTGAGACACAGACAATTTAGTGCTATTTTTGAGGCATGTTCTCAATATGAAAACTTGCTTCGGAGGGCGCTATTATTATCGTATTATTATCGTTGTAAGCTCAACACCTTTGATGTTGTAACAGTATTACGAGTTTTACTGGCATCACTGCACTTTTGTTTAGGGTGTGTTATGACAAGCTTAAATATTTACTAGGCCTAAATATAGATGTCTGCGACAAATCTGCGCTCAGAATATGCTCTGAATCAGAGAAAACAAGTCAGAAAATAGTAATAGAAATTTATAAATTAATATTTCTGGAATTTAATAAAAAAAAACTTTACAGTCAATCTTAGTGTTGGCAAAATGGTGATTTTTTTTTCTTTCCTACAGGTAATTTTAAGAGAAAC